TAAAGATTTGTGTCACTGTTGAAAATTGGACTAATGGACATTAAAAAGCAAAACAGGTAGTTGCTTCGGATATCTGCTCTGGCCACATCTGATTTTGCCCTCTAATAAATACACCCGGTTCCTCTACTTCCCTCTTTTGTTCCAGCTGGAAGTGAGTTAGTGCAGGTTTTGACCTCCCCTGTGAATAGTCACCTCTTTTGGTCAGTGGCTGTATGGGGTCGCAGGGGAGATGGAGTCATATTTTAGGTCAGGCCAATATTATTTTTCAAGGGTTGCCAGTCCCCAGCTAGAACCACAGTGGAGTTCAGGAGGCTTCAGAGTAGCCTGACATGAAGTTAAAGGAAGCCATGAGCTTCCTCCAAGTGACACTTTGATCACAAACACGATAATAGCAACAGCCTTAAAACATCACAAACTGACAGGTTGTCTGCAGGAAGAGGGCAGGGGGAGAAAGTATTTCTGACAAGTCATGTCCTTAGACATAACAAGAAGCGATCTTGAGACCAACCCCTGCAGCCAACCCCGCAAACCTGGGTTTTCCATTCGGACCCCTCTCTGCAACCCACTGAGCGATGGTATCCCTGGGGAGGCCCATCCAGACAGCTATGCAACCGAGCTGTGATACATCCAATTTCTGTCTGGGAGACTACATAAAGTAAATTAGCAAATGGTATAAAAATGACGACTGGTGCAAAATGAAACCTACTTGGATCATTTATTTCAGCCAGCTTTGTTTGGTTTTAAGGATGGTAACCCTGCATAGAATAATTATGGGGCACAGTCTCCAAAATTATGGGGCACGTCTGTCAATTTTCATTTTCCTCCTATTACACAGCATTCGAAAGTGAAACATTCGCACTTGTAATTTTGCACCCTGTCACTGAACTGAGTGCAAAACACCTTTAAGGACTTGATTTCTGGGGCAAGTCGGGTTTTTAGAGCTTCCACTGCCCTACTTTCTACCCACAGTTCATTTTGCAAGAACAGCAGTGCAAGAAAGATTTTGCACTTATGAGCTGCATCTGCAAAGCCGTCTCAGATTCCCTAAAATCTTGCTGCCCTACACATGATGGGGTGGGTGAGCTGGTAGCAGCACTTTGCTATTTAATCGTTGCATTGAAATCTGGGGGGAGATTTATATGTGTTTTTTAATAACTATTATCAAGTTTGTGTGATGAAAATTGCAGGCATTTTTTTGGTAACAATTACTGGGTAGCAAAGTACAAGTTAGCAACTCCTGTAGCCAAAGCCAGTATGAAAATGTGGGGGTGCTATTTTTACTGTATTTGTTCCTGAATGTGGTGATAGTTAAGGAGGAGAATTTGTCTCATCTTCAGTTGAATTGTCCACGTTATTTCCAGAAGTTTTCTTCCCCAAGCACGGCTTCTGGAAATGATATAAAAGTCCCCAATGATTTGGGAGATGATGTAGAACCTAGCCTTTACCAAAAAACTGGGACCTATCCTTTACCTCTTGATGAGGTTTTGCCTCCCATTACTTCACAGACCTCATCAAGCAACTCTTTGCTGCTAACATCTCTCTTGACTGTAGAGTGATTTTAATTACATTCAAGAAATGTCTCTCTTGCTCAGAATGAAAACAGAAAAAAATCAACCAAGATTTATCCCATTGATGAAAAGACCTGCAAATGTCATCTAAAAATGATGCTGAATCAGATTCCTCCGGGACATATATTTCATTCAGAAGAGCTATCCGGTTACAACTTTATTGTTTATTAGACAATAATAGCACTGTTATTTCTTTCTCAAGCAGGTAAAGCCTTGCGGCAGTTTGGCGCTGCTGAAATTCCTATCACGTTCAGAACCTCTTACGGGAAACTAAAATGGCAGTATGAGATTAAACATTAAAATTTAAAAGCTTCAGGCTTTAGCAAGAACCTGCAAATTGTGGCTCTCGTGGAAAAAAAAAAAAATAATATCAGGGTCGAGGGTCATGCTGCCCTGTTTTGTCTTTGCTTCGATTCTGAAGCCTATCAGTGTGGCCTTATTACTGTGAAATTTTAATTCTTCCACACAAAAATAATTGCAAGAGACTTATCAGTTGGAATTTGAAGCAGCACAAATTACCTTCAGCCTCCCTAAAGCCTTTGATGTACTGTTTGTTTGGAGTTTGTGCTTGCTTGAGGGATGCGATGCTGTGGATAACTCATCGCTGAATTCCCTGCTGCGGAATGGCTACCAGCTGTTTCTCTTAGAACTTTAAAACTCAGTGATTCACAGCAGAGCCCGAAAAGCCATCAATATGCTCATTACCCAAACTAGGAACCAACTAATAAAGAGGAGGGTGGAATTTTGAATTCCACTGTGGACACTTCTCAGCAAAAAGGAAGGAAGCAAGAACACGAAAAAAAAAGGAAAACAGTTTTTATTTTTTGCTTAAGAGTCTATGTTTTGTAATACCTTTAATTAAAATGACACTTCTTCGGCACGCTTAGGAGGTGCTATCAATCTCACATCCAGTAATTAGCTGTCGCCAGTGCTGCATACAGACCACTTTTCCTTTTCTTGCTTTTCACGTATTTTTAGTAGTACCAGGTAATTGAAACAAAAAAGTCAGTCTCTAGAAGCCAATAGTCATCTCTGATTCTAACAATGTAGGGCTCTTCTTCTATTGCCTGTCAAGTAGCATCAGATAAGAGCACCTGGCTACCACTGACAAGATGGTATTAGTACTATCAGTTTGGGTGTGAGTGTGTGGTGTTTTCTCCTGGGTAAAAAATTAATTTGGGTATCTGTCATGATCCTGCTGTGAGCATATAGTGTACATGATCAGAAAAACTGGCTGGTTAGCAAGCTGTTTATGAAAATCAATAGTGGACATGACAGGTGAATCTTTGAAATGAGTCTTTTTTATTTTTGGTTTCTGGGTTTTTTCTCCCTTTAAATTACACTTGAAAAATAGCTTTTCTAGTTTCCAGAGGACTTTTTTTCTTCCTTTAAATTAAACTTGAAAAGCTTTACTCTTCTATTGAACAAGCACTGGTTCCATTTCTTTTCAGGCAACAAACTAAATGTTGACTTTAAAGATGAATGCTTAATGCGGTTACAATACAGCTGCCTATTCTATAGTTAAATGCTCCATTTTTCACTAATATGGATGTTGACTACTAATGCTGTCAGAGGCTATTGTTATATGCTGTATATCTGAAGCGATAGTTCATGAGTTCCCTTTATGTTCATTATGATAAGACTCAGATTATTTAACAAGCATGGCTGCACCCTGCCCATCACCACTTATGATTAGGATGTTATAACTATCAATTAGTTAAGGGTTGTATAGTGCTTTGAAATTAAGACTGCTGTATAAATTTGTAATACAGACCTAAGACACCCCAATTTAATTAAGGCTTACATTTTTTTTTTCATCTTCATCAGTACTTTTTAAGATTGGATTTCTTGTGACAACAGTTAAGCAAATGTCGATTTAGCTGAGGAAGCATTACATGGAATCTGCTGGTCCAGGAACACTTGTTACCCAGAAATAAGAAAGGTGAAATCAGCTCTGGGGAGGTTTTAGGTAGTGATCTAGGATATGGGCCGAGCAATCCTGAGGGAGGAGCAATACAAGCAGCTGAAGTCCAGGAAACATGCTTAAACTCAACTGTCTATGACCTTATTTTTTTGTGTTAATAAAGCCAAGCCTCAGGAAGGGGATAGGTTTGGAATATTCCTAATGTGTGGACTTTGACAGCTGAGCAGGTTGGAAAATCCTCCCGGTAACTCATCTGTTCCTAAAATATTTTATTTTATGATGAACCCACTTCAGAAGACTCTAACATGGTATTTTCTGCCTCTCCATGGTTCAGTTATTTAGGTCCTGAAACAAGGCAAATTTGAGAGAGAGACTTCCAGATGTTTAATAGCAAATGCTCTTTCAGGTACATGGTCACAAGCCTAACAATGAGTGGGACTTTAGTGAGAAGAGAATTGGTCCCATTTTATCTAATGTTGTACTGACTGTCATGCAGAGTTTTTTTCTAGAAAACTGTGTTTCAGTATTTAACAACAGGATCTGGATTTCTTGGCTTCAAGTCATTTTCAAAACATACAGGTTAGCATGAAGAGATGCATTTATTTCAAATACATAAGTACAGAGGTTGCATTACGGGAAGAAAATCTCAAGTTGTTCCCCCATTTTATTGCATCTCTGACTTCTAAAGTTAGAGATGGAATAAGAGACTCTCATTCTGTGCAGCGTTCTCGGGCTGTCATTTTTGATAAGATGAGCCGCTATTAATATTGATTTGTTTTACATGTTTTCAAGACCCAGCCATAGCTGTTACGATCATTGCAACCAAATGTTATGAATGCAGATAGTGAAAGCTCGCATTGAACCCATTTTAAAAGTAAGTATTCCTGTCTGTCTGTCTGTCTAGTATTATAATGGAGGGTGTGTGTACGCTATGAAACCATTCTACATACTTAATTCTTGTCATCCAGTGCTTGAATAAAGCCAATAGTTCTTCGTGGAGCACAACTTGATTTTTTGGCCTTGGAAGAAAAAATTCCTGTTCTTCCATAAAGCTGATATAAAAATATTTTGAACCCTAACTATATATATATGTGTGTGTGTGTGTGTGTGTGTATGTATGTATGTCTATATATATTGTTCATTTTAACAACAGCACATAGAGTTTCCAACCAAGATCAGGCCCTTTTGTGTGGGGCCCTAAAGAATTAAAAATTAAGAGAGAGTCATTTCCCTGAAGACCTAGAAACCATGTGACAATATTGTGACATGAGTACTGGTCAGCATCAAGACCAGGCAATGGAAAGCTATGGGCTTCATCCGGATTTCATGAAAATCAAAAGTTGTTCATATTAACAGGAGTTGGATTAAGCCCCAAAAGGGGGGAGTACGGATGTAACGTAAGTACTCTGTCTTTCATTAATTAAAATGATGGGTCTTCCTGTGATATATTAGGCAAAGCAGGGAAGTGTGGAAGCAGGAGCAATAAACTTGGTGTTTTGGTTTGTCTTTTAGAAAAGCATCAGAGATGAAACTCAGCTAGAAAGTGACCACAAAGTAATCCTTTGGAATCTGTACCTGGCTCAGGTAAAAGAAGTGTAATGTAAGATTTGGTCTGGTGGGAACTTTGATGTGTGTGCGCATGCTGGAAGTAGGAGTGCTTGGAAGGAAAAACCTTGCTTGAGACTACCCAACCAAAGCTCTAAGAAAAACTATTTTCAGTATTGTACCAATTAATTTGCTATGGGCACCAACAGTTCCAGAGCAGTTTAGCACAAGCTTTCATATGATAAGTGTTCACAGGCTAAGAGATGGGGTGATGTCACTCAGGGTCAGATCAAAGTTGGGACATGGCAGAAACATGTTTCATTGGCTTTCTTGTTACATTGCCAACAGGCAAATTGGAGCTGCCACCATCTTAACATTCACAATAATCTCCAGCAGGAATGAAGCAGATTTCTCTCCAAGACATCTTGCTTATAGGCTTGGCAGTGCTATGCTGGCTAGCACTACGGATGAAAGGGACTTGGGGGTCATGATTGACCACAAGATGAACATGAGCCTGCAATGCGATGCTGCAGCTAGTAAAGTGAGCAAAATGCTGGCTTGCATCCATAGATGCTTCTCAAGCAAATCCCAGGACGTCATTCTCCCGCTGGACTCGGCTTTGGTGAGGCTGCTGCTAGAGTACTGCAATCAGTTTTGGGGTCCACAATTCAAAAAGGATGTGGAGAAGCTTGAGAGAGTCCAGAGGAGAGCCACATGCATGCTCAGAGGTCAGGAAAACGGACCTTATGATGAAAGGATGAGAACTATGGGACACTTCAGCCTGTAAGAGCGCAGATTTAGGGGTGATCTGGTGGCCGCCTATAAGTTTATCAGGGGTGTTCACCAGGATCTGTGGGGATGTCTGTTCACCAGAGTGCCCCAAGGGATGACAAGATCAAATGGTCACAAACTCCTCCATGACTGTTTCAGGCTAGGCATAAGGAAGAACTTCTTTACTGTCAGCCCCCCAAGGTTTGGAACAGACCTGCCGCTGGAGGTGGTTCAAGCACCTACTTTGAATGCCTTCAAGAAACATTTGGATGTTTATCTTGCTGGGATCCTATGACCTCAGTTGACTTCCTGCCCCTCGGGCAGGGGGCTGGTCTCGATGGTCTTCTGAGGTCCCTTCCAGCCCTAATGTCTATGAGTCTATGAAGTCTATAATTTATATTGCCAATTAGTGGGATTTCCCTTCCTCCCTTCAGGTCTGATGTCATAGGATTAAAGGAGGTCATTTAGTCTAACTCTCTGCTGGAGGCAGGGTCATCCCTGACTTAATCATCCCAGTCACGTGTCTGTCCAAACTGCTCATGAAAATTTCCAGGGATAGAGATTCCATAGCTTTTCTAGACAGCCTGTTCCAATCATTGAAATGAAGGTGCTTTTGTCTGTGAAAGCACTAATGTCTATGAAATCTGTGAAATGAAGTAAGAGAGGACAAATTATGCCGGTAGGAGTGTCAGGAGGCAATGAATGAGTTAAGTTTAGTTCTGTGAGCAAAGGGAATTATTACTCAGTTGCAGAAACACCCACAATATGGTAGGATTTTCTAAAAGGAAAAAGTGCGTTGATCTTTGGCCCAAGGAACTTTCAGTTCCAAGGTAGACAGTGTCCGTGTCTACATGAGTCACTGACTGAGCATACCCAACTACTAAATGACTTTGCGGTAACTGGTGTTACACAGTAGTGTCCCCAGCGTGCTTCATGGTGATGCTGATTGCACAGTAGCTCATTACTACTGCGCAGTAGCTTCATGGTTTGTGCCCCACGACACTACTACACAGTAATAATGAGCTACTGTGCAGTCAGTGTCTCATGTAGACATGGCCAGTGAGTAGGAGTGAAATGAAGCAGTCCAGGTGACAATTAGTCAGGCCTTTTGCAACACAAGGTTATGTTATCATGTTTTAGTTTAATGGGGCTTATAAACTCCTCGGACTTCGTGTCATCCATGACATATATCACGATATTAAAAATGGAAGCTGTTAATGGTATGTATACACAGGCTTATTCATTCAGATTACCAAGAGCATACATGGTCTAATTATTTTCATTGTAAACAAGAAAGTATGGAGTGCTTCCGTGCATGAATCTCTAACATTGAATAATTCTTGATAAAAAAGAGGCAGCCCATATGGGTGAGCAGATGAAATGCTGATAAACATGGTGAAACAGAGCAGATGCATGAATCATGCCAAAGGATCTGCATTCCTAATGCTTACTGCCCATTAGGGATGTGCAAAGTTTCACCGGGTGTTTCATTTTGATGCTATTTCGACTCATTTTGAGGTCGAAACAGCAAAATCAAAATGAAACAAAAGGCTTCAAAACAGCCTCAAAACAAAACGAGGGCACTCGAAATGTTCAAAAGTTTTTTAACTTTTCAAGTTTCGAGGCTGGGCTTGCTTGCAGGGAAACAGAAACTAAGGAGAGGGAGGGGGAAGAGAGGGGAAGAACTGCTCTCATATTGGCTGTGGAGCTGGCCAGTGACTATGATCCCTCCGTAAGCAACCTTCCAATCCCAGTGCTCTGGGGGAGGGATGGAAAACCAGCTGCGCCTTAACACACACACACAGTTTTGCTTGTCAGCAGCTTGCATTGCAGTTTCCCAGAAACCCCTGTACCTATCTCCTTGAAACTTGGCTTTGTGGCCTCAACGGGGGCTACCATGTCTGCAGTTTTCACCCTGCTTTGCCTTAACACACATGTGACATGAGTTTTGCTTTCAAGATGTTGAGGTGCAGTTTCCCAGAAACCCCTGTACCTATCTCCTTGAAACTTGGCTTTGTGGCCTCAACGGGGGCTACCATGTCTGCAGTTTTCACCCTGCTTTGCCTTAACACACATGTGACATGAGTTTTGCTTTCAAGATGTTGAGGTGCAGTTTCCCAGAAACCCCTCCACATATCTCCTTGAAATTTGGCAGGCTTCATGGCCTCAGAAGGGGCTACCATCCATGCAAGTTTCATTAAAACAGGCAAGAAATGACAGTTACAGGAAGTTTTGTGCTTCCCCATTATAGCCTACAGGTGAAACATCGAAACAGCGTCGAGTGAGACAGTTTTGACGAAATGAAATGGAACAGTGCTTTCTAAATGAAATGAAACTCGAAATGAAACACCGTCCCATCAAAATGGTGAAATGAAAGTTGAAACGAAATGGTGCTGTTTTGCACAGCCCTACTGCCCATGAGGCGGCAGAATTAACTTGAATTATACACCTCTGAAACTCAGGGTACTAAGTGCACTGATAGCATTATAAAACTGAGTCGCCGGAGATATTGCTATGGAAGGAGGTTATTATTAAGAATATATTGACAGATAGTAGCATAATACAGGTTCGGATAATCATAAAGTGGCATTTTGGCTTGCTACCCCGGCTAATGTCATTTAAATAATGGAGTAGAACATTAGTGTGACAAGGTTCTCTGCAGTGACTTGACTTCTGTTGGACAAAATAATTGATGTAGATTGAATAACTCTACCTACTGGACATTAAAGTAGGATAATGACAGTTGCTTATTATAACCTGATTGACTTACTGAATTCAGACTGGATGGCATATTTTAGAGCATAAAAATCAGAAGTCTGGTCACACATATTTAAAGGTGTATTACCTTTTATGAATTACTGGCTTAACTTGTTTATTAGATAATTGCCTCTTTTCATGGGCAGGAATAAGGTATCATAATATCCATTTTGCTGCTTGATGTTACTGCCCCATCTTATATAAAAGCACCCATATTAATGCAAAATCTCTAATACCTTGTCTGGTACAAGTGTAGAGAAAAGAATTTATCTTGAATAAGGAAATCATCCTGAGTTATAACTAGTAACATATGCACAGTCTTTTTTCTATTACATAAAAAGGGTATCGCTTCATATTAGGTTGCTTACAGCCATATAATACTTCCAAAACCCCCTGCCAGTATTGTTTGAGAATCATATGTTTTGTTTCCCCAGAGATTTTCAGGGAGTATTGAGCAACAAGTAATAGTCCCATAACCTAAATTCATGCAGCATCCAGCAGCGCTGTCTCTGAGGTATGTAGAATTATGTTTCACAAAATGCATTTATTGTTACAACCATCTTTTTCATACTTCACTTGTTAAGCTAAGTAATGACATGTGGAGCTCCTCACACTAAGGCAGTAACAGTTCTTTTGTGTGGTTCGTTCTTGTGATCCTCTCCCCTCCTACCCCTGCCCCCCGCCCCATAAATATCAATATTCTTTAAGGGTGTCATTAAAGGAAGTCTTGGTGACAAACTTATAGATATACTTAGATAAGATGGTTTAATAAAAAAAATCTAGCTATTCTATTACCAGAGAAGAGACAGCATAAAACAAAAGCTTCCTTGGAAAGACTATTGGGATTATTATTCTTTCTTTGAAATTCAGACCTTTAGAGAGCATTAATGCCACAGAAAATGTATCTGTAATCCAAAATTAAAATGAATTTCTAAAAACTGTCATTTTCTAAATGGGGCCATGCTCTGTATATATATATTTCTCTTTTTGCTGACAAATTTAAAATCTTAAGACTAGGTTCTCAGCCAGGGAAATGGAAATGTTGGGTATCTGTCTTACACTGAAATAACACTTTTAAAGCATGCTTTGTTGAATGAAACTAGCCCATAGATTCCTAAAGTCATCCTTGAAGTCTCATCTGTCCCCCCAGCAAAGGAAAACTGAATGTCAGAATGATCAGCGATACCTTCTAAATCAAAAGGAAAAGGGTTGGATTCTCAGCTGCCATAAATCAGTGTAATGCCATCAGTGGCAGTAAACTACTATACATCAGCTGAGGATCTGGCTGTGAAAATCTATGGAAATGAAACCTGCTAAGTTTCTTAGCTGTATGCAGGTAGCTGGCTAACGTTCTTTAAAAGTAAATGAAATTATTTTTTGAGGCGCATAGTCTGATTTTTGGGTTTGGTTCTTGGTCCTGTGCTGTTCAACATCTTTATCGATGTTTTAGAAGAGGATGTGGAAAGCACACTGGCCAAGTTTGTGGTTGATACTAAGTTATGGGGGAAAACGGTCACAGTAGGGAATAGGATGTTGATACTTCTCTAACTTGCACCTCTCCCCAAGCCTGCCCTATCTATTCAATAAAGCTATCCATTAGCAAGCCTACATGCTTGAGAGGGTTTGGGCACACCTTTTAGCTCCCTCTTCCCAGCTGACTAAGGGAGGCTACTTTTTACGCTTCAGTGTAATAGAAGCACTACAAGAACCCAAGCTCTACAAGGCCTGTGTATCCTGGACGGCACAGGGCCCAGACAGAGACCTGAGTCCAGGTGGTGGTGGTGGTGGTTACCCCAGGCTTGCGGGTGTGCTGCTGGGGTTTGGCCGGTTATAGGTACCCCAGGGGAGACACTCGGAGCTTGGTAGCTGGTTGGACATAGTGAGGCGGGTGGCTCAGTGCAGGAGTGCCCCCTACTGGCCCTGCACAGCATTCTCCTCCAGATCCTTTTTTCTATATATAAACAAAAGCTTACAAGCAGTATTAAGTGATGCGAATCCTCCTCGGAGACTTCAAAACCTTGTTAGAAGGAGAAGTAGATGCATGGAAGGAAAAGTAAAGTCAGCATCCTGAGTATGTAGCATATGTTTTCCTGTGTGTGCAATCCTGTGACATGGTTGGGATGGCATGGTTAGTCAGGGATGATCCTGTCTTGAGCAGTAGGCTGGACTATGACCGTGTGAAGTCCCTTCCAGCCCTATTTTCCTATGAACCTATGGTGCTTTAAGCACTGCCCCAGTATCTTTTGTTTTCTCCATCTTATTTCCCCAGAAAAGCAGGGCCAGGTTTTTAACAAGCCCTTCTGCTGTTGTTCTAGCAAACCCCAATTCATAATTGTCTCTGAAATGAAAAATGTTTAGCTTGTTGCATTTTGGCACTGTACAAAGTTGCTCGGCCTGTGCCTCCTGCACAGAGATCTCTTAGCTCAGATTCTGTGAGCAAGAACTTCTTATAAGAGATAATTTATATTGCCAATTAGTGGGCTTTTCCTTCCTCCCTTCAGGTCTGATGTCATAGGATTATAGGAGGTCATTTGGTTTAATGCCGTGCTCAAGGTAGGGCCATCCTTGACTTGATCATCCCAGCCACATGTCTGTCCAAACTGCTTATGAAAATTTCCAGGGATAGAGATTCCATGGTTTGTCTAGATAGCCTGTTCCAATCACTGACCACCTTCATAGTCAGAAAGTTCCTCCTAATCTGCAGCCAAATTTCTGCTGCTGAAGGTTGAGGACATTTCTCCTAGTCCTGTCCCATACAGACACAGAAAAAAGCCCAACTCTATTCTCTCTGTAATCACCCTTAAGGTATTTGAGAACTGTTTTAAACCCCACCTTCAGTCTTCTCTTCTGCAGACTAAATAACCCTAGGTCTTTCAGCCTTTCTTCAGAAGTCATGTTTCTGAGGCCTCTAATGTTTTTTGTTGCTCTGTTATTTTTTCCAATCTGTCTACATCCCTCTTGGAGTGTGAGGCCTGGCACATGACCTAGTAATCCAGATGAGGCTTAACCAGTGCTGAACAGAATGGAAAAAAGACTTCCCTTGATTTGCAAGTGACATTCCTGCTAGTACAGCCCAGTAGATTGTTGGCTTTTTTGCAACAAGAGCCTACTGTTGGCTCATCTTCAGCTCTTGGATACTGTAACTTCCAGGTCCTTCTCTGCCGTACTGCAACCTAACCAGTCATTTCTCAGTCTGTATTTGTGCATACAATTATTCCGTCCCAAGTACAGGATATTGCACTTGTCCTTGTGGAATCACATCTAATTGATTATGGATGATTTTTCTAGTATATCCAAGCCATTCTTAATTGTAGCCCTACACTCCAGAGTGTCTGGACACAGTATTCCAGGCAAAGCCTTAAAGTAGAAGTATCACTTTGCTTGATTCACAAGTGATTTTGCAACTCATGCTCTTTTGTTGCTGTTCCTAGGGATTATCACATGAGCCTTCAAATACGAAAAATTGAGTTGCATGAAGGAGACAAGCACTCCTTCATGTTGGTACTTTCAGAGCTGTATTTATAACAATGGCAATAAATACGCAGCTTTCTCTCATGGAAACAGAAGTACATTAAGTGACAGTGTTTTCACTAGCATGGGCCCCAGGGACAATGAGACAAAGAAAAAATTATACAAGAATATAGAAAAACAGGTATTCCATTCAATTATTCATACTTCCATTGTGTTTCAGTTTTTGAAATGGCATAAATTGTTTGAGACAATTGTTTGACACAAACATTTTATTTTGTGGGTTTTCCATCCCTTTTGTTTAAGGAAAACCAAAAAAGGCCATTTAAAATGGAAAGCTAGGCTAAGAAATTCCAAGGGAATTAGGCATACTTTGGAAAATTAGGCACATCTTGGAAGCTAAAGGGATTTGGTAACTGCCTTCCTCTCTGGCAACATCTTATCTCTAATGTCTGTCTCTAAAATTCATTTTTAAGTAGCTTAGGGGTAAACAGAAGATGAATTACATTTTTCCCTTGAGGCCCCTAGAATGCAAGTCCCTTCATTGAAATTGTATGTTGAAAGGAGAGTCCTCCAATGACTGAATAGTTTTCCAAGTTTTGGGGAGAAAGAGAAGTGAGATGAAGACAACGCTGTTGTTGGATTAGTATGGTCTGATACACTCAGAAAGCACACATTAAAATATATTTGCCACGTATCTGCTTTGTGAGTTCCAGGAATTTTAGATAAGGTGAATAGTTGGTGCACACATTTTTAGGTAAGGTGAATGGTTGTATACTTTTAAAATATACATCTGGGCTTTGAGCTCCTTTTTTAAAAAAAAAATGATATGATCTGGAACAGGAGTTCTCAATCCTGTAACGGAATCTCATTTTACAATAGAAAAAACATTTTGGGATCCTTCCTTTTTCCATCTAGCCAGAAAGAAATGAAGTGATTCTGATATATTGTGTAGCTACTTAGTAATAATTTATTAATAACATCTGTTGACCTGAATAATGGCTGTCCAATATTGGATTGGGAAAACTATTGTCACCTAAGGATTCTGGCTTGATCTACTCTTAAGCTTACCAGACGTGTTTGATCCAGAAAGGGAAAAGTTTGAGAACTAACAAGAACAGAAAGCAACAGAACCCTGGCAGTCTTGCAGAGAAAAAGTAATTATTGAGAGAGCTGTTCTGAAGAAAGGGCAGTGCTGGGGATCTCCAAAAACGCTAGGTCAACTTCAGGATACCCTTAGGAGATGGTAATTAGTGGGTGAGAGGGACAAGTGTGAGAACTTTTTATTTTAAACTACTTTTTCTGTTATATTCTGTTCCTACTATGAGAAAAAGTAATAAGTAAGTTTTACAAAGGCTGTCTGATTACTGTATTCACAAATCACCTGAAATTGCTAAAGGAAAGAACCATGAGTGGCAAATACAGTTAGCCTTGCTGGGCAAGCGCAGCTGATACATTGGGGAGCATAGCACAAGGGTCTGATCTCAAAGTGGGAGAACCAGAATTCCACTTGACCTGAGGTTAAAAAAAATGAGGCTTGACTCTTAGGGGAGAGGAGAGTTGCTCTGTAACCATTAGTCCTGTAACTATGACAGGTTTTGACCCTTGGGTCTGTTTAATCTTCTGACTCAACAACAAGATATAGGTTTGATACAAGAACTGCTAGATGAAATTCTTAGATAATGATATTTGTCATTTCTGGACTTAGTTATGGAACTTCATGGGCTACCCATTATGCTGGCTCTTGCAAACCACTGGACTATTTATATACAGGGTGACCATACAGGAGAGTGGGAAATCAGAAATGGAGATGGCTGGAATGTTTTTCCTATTTAAAAAAAAAAAAAAAAAAAAAAAAAAGGACCATTTCAGCCAAAACGGTCAGTGGCACTACTGCAGGCAGAGGTGGGGCAGGACAGCGTGGTGTGCTGGGCTGTGCCATGCCATTCCATGTCACTCCACCTCTCCACCCCTGTGTTTCTGGGATGTTCATTTTAATTCTCCCCAGCTGGCTGGCACTGGCCTCTGAAATTCAGGATGTATGGT